GATCAGCGTCGAGATATGGATCAGGAATCCAACGAGGACCCAGCTTCAGAGGATGTTTCAGCACTGCGGAGAGGGACCAGGGAGGGGAGAGCTCCACGTGGCTTAGCTGAGGTTGTTAAAAAGCGCTCGAGGATGAGCTACAGTGGTATGCATAAACCTAATTTTGAGTTTTCTTCTCTAATATCTTCTACACTTTTCTCTCCTCTCTGAATCTTTCTCCATTATCACGGTAAATCCATAACACCGACACTGCAAAACTGAGCTTCAACAAGCCAAACATTTCCACGACAGATCTTGAAACATTGGGTATTTGGGTGTCTCACAAAATGGTCCTCGACTTATCCAAGAATTATCAAACATTCGATTCCGAGGCCTTTCAGGAGGTTTTCACTTTGTTAACGGGCAATTAGAATCGTCTGTGTTCGAGATAGTTAACATAATGGGAATGGCGAAAGAAGGGTGGGGTTTTGGACGCCCCAAAGTGGATTCGTAAGAGACTTGTATCTGAAAAACACAAGCGCCAATTATAACTCTAAGCCAACCCTTGGTCCCGTTATATAGCCAGGGCACACTAACATGGTCCCCAAAGGTTGGGAGATCCCAACAGAAGGGAAGAAACTAAGAATTATGCAGTGAAAGACGGTTTTACTGAATTTCTGTAATACCCCAATATGGGGTTAGATTTTTTTTTTCAGTTTAAAAAAATGTGAAATGTTATAAGTCGATTAGAAAAAATAATTGTGTTATTATACTATTATTATTAAGCAAATTGATGGCCATTCAATTATAGATATATTTTTTTTATTAAGGATAATGCATGGCCACTATGGAATCCATTGTTTTCCAGCTAAGAGGAATTTTATTTTATTCACAACTTGTTTGTTTGTTGAGAAAACAAATACGACAGCCTCTTGGTAACACATTTGAGCTCTAATTTCCAATTGTTTTATGAGAATTTGCTTCCTTTCCCAGTCTGAGAAGAGTTCAGTATCATGGCTTAGTCAGTTGTGTCCTCTGCAGTGAAAGCAATCGGCAAGCTGCTAGCAGACGAAGCAGTCTACCTTTGGGGCGTGGAAGAGCAAGTTGATGGTTTGCTAACTGAGCTCAAGTGGAAGCAAAGTTTATTGTTGGAGAATGATGTTAAACAACATGAGAACGAGGGGATTCGTCTTTCGGTTGTTGAAATTAGAGAGCTTGCCTATGATGCCGAGGATGTTATCAAGGATTTTGTTCTCAGGATTGTGTCCAAAAAGGAAGGTGGTATTTCCGGTTGCATCAAAAGATCTACCTGCATCTTGATTGAGGGATGGACACTCCACAAAACACGTTCAAAGATCGAGGAAATCTTTGAGAAAATACTCAACTTGGTCCGACGATTTCAAGCATATATCGTGATGGGATTGAAGGATGGAGATGGGTCGAGTTATTCAATCGCAAGGAGGGAATTAAGGAACCCAAACGATTTTTGTTAAATCGACTATCATTCATCATGATTCTTGGTGAACAAAGGCCATATCTGTGATAAGGAAAGCTAGACGAGTTTAATGGTGTGTTTTAGGTCTTGATTGGCGATTGATTAAGGTGGTCGGCGTGGGGGGTCTCCAACGATCAGCGGTGGTCAGAGATCGGTTGAATGAGCAGCTCGTTTGTTAGCTTTCTGGAGAAGAGAATGAAACAAAGTGGGAAAATAAGAAATGAAAATTTGGTTCAGAGAGCACGTGGGTTTTGAAAATATTGATAAAGTGAAAAAAAATGGAAAATCACAAGGTGAGTCACCCAAGTTTGGTGAGATCTTTACCTTGTCTATTTGTTTCCAAGTAGTTATAGTTATGACATAATAGTTTCTATAAGATCAGTTTAGTCCCTAATTTAAGTAATTAAATATTTTGATAGCATCATTAGTTTTTAGTTTAATCAATTGAGTCTTCAAATTATTATTTAAATTCTAATAAGCTAACTTTATGGAGAGGGAAATTATTTGGATACGAGTTAGTGATTTTGATGGCATGGATCGTGAGGAAATTATTGGAAGTTGATTTCAAGATCGAGGACGTTTAAATAGAATTTAAATGGTCGATCAGTAAGACACGAAAATCGAGGTAATACATTACTACCCCTTTATGCTTTATAGAACATGTTGGTATTGATAAATGTATGAATGGAAATGTTTGGTCTCATATGTGTAATTAATGAAGTTCTACACTCGATATGAATGCGGTATAAAGTAGGTAACTGAATATGGCTCAGATGATTATTATAAGAAATTGGAGGACAATTGGAATTAAATTATAAGTTCTGGAATTAAGTGATAAAGGAATAGCTATGGATATGTAATTTATAATTTATCTCATTAAAGGTACTTAGATGATAAATTTATAGATGTGCATAGAAATGCTAATTTTGCTTGGAAAATTTAGAAAACTGGTTTTTAACCCCAAGAGGGTTTGTGCAAGATATTAGAAGTCTGTTAAGGAATCATTTCAAGATAAGAGAATGTTCGGGAAAACAATTGACCATAGGATCTTTAAATTATAATTATTTTCGTTAAGAATTAATATCGAAATTATTTGGTTAAGAAATTACGAAAATACCCTTGAGAGGTAAAATAGTTTGAGTTGACCCTGAATGAGAAAGTACTTTGAGGATTTGTACTTAATTCGATTAAGTACGAATTTAATTGTTAAGATCTTGTCTTTGTACAAAAAAATTCATGATATTTCGTTTGTAAAATTTGAGAAGGCACTTGACCCGAAAATATTCGAGTAATGAGTAAATACCTGAAAAATAATTTATCGGGGGTATTCTGCTGTCAGAATTGTTCGAAAGGACTGAAATAAATGATAAGATTGAATTTAATAGTAAGATCGGACGAAAGAAAAGGATTAAAATACATTGAATCTGTAAAATGATCAAAATACCCCTGTAATGAAAATGACTCAAGAATATCACCAAGCTCAGGAATGATTGGATATCCTCGAGCTCTGAAATGAATGGAATAAAACTGAACACCAAAATTACCAAAATAACCTTATGGTCTAAACTAAGTAAATGTCTTGGATTAATTAAAGAATCCAAATAAGCATAGGTATTGGATTACCTTTAAAGGTAATGGAACACAAGTTAAGTGAGTAGATTAATCCTAAAACTATGTCAATACCTGAATGGCATAAATATTACTGGAATGTGTATTCGTCTTCTCAAGTTTGGCTCGATGATAAATTTTGGAAGTATTCAGCTCAGCTCAACTCTAGATTGCATTCAGTACTAAGAATTGGACGTTTGTTCGACAAATCAACCACGAAGACCAAATTGAATGGAACAAAAGTGCAACATGTATCTGAAATTCAGGAACGTTTGAATTACTCTGGAAAATCCCGAAGTAACTGGAATGGACTTGAATGCTAAATAAATTAAGTAACCTCAAGGACTGAGGATTAAATAAGTGATTTGGATGAATATGGAAATGTTAATGTTAATGAACATACATGATGTAATGTTCTTATGGATTATGAATTACAAAATCAAGTACGTCAGTATTTCATGATATAGTAAAAGCGTGAAAATGAAATAAAGACATTGGAAGATTTATTCAGCGATAATTTTGAAGATGATATATGGACTAGGATTGTGGTATTAAAGTGTAAATACCCTAGAAGGACAACAAAATGACCAGTCGATAAGTATTAGTTCTGGGAACTATTCATCTAAGAGTTATTCGATAATCCGATCAATCGACATAGATTGTAAATGTCCTGAACCTTTAATTCTTCCTTACCAGCTCAAGTCTCATTCTGAATAACTGATGATTTCGTCAGTTATTGAACTTTTCCAATAGTGATTCTAAATTCTGACATTCTATCGGTATACTGAAGATCCGTGTTTCTCTGCCTGCTAAGATTATCCAGTACCTCTGAATAATATCTGTAAACTCTAGTGTGTTCTCTAATCATATAAATATTTTATTTGATTTCCGACTTGAATTCTGTTCTGATACATGACCTGAATTTTGTTCTGATTTCTTATCTGGATTCTGTTCTGATATATGTTCTGAAGTCTGTTTTGATTTCTGATATCTCCGTTTAATGACGGAAAAATGTTTTAATTGGGGGGTATTGTTGAAGGAAGTATTTTTGCAGGTTCCTCAGCTTTGTGCTCGGGGCCTTACAAGTTGTGTGGGTTGGGTGTATGGTTCTGGGGAACCTACGCATTATGTTATGTTGAGATGGAGGTATATATATATATATATGTTTTAAAAAGATCTAAAAAGTTACATGATTTTTTGGAATACACTAGATAACCTATTCTGATCTCCTGAACTCAGTCATCCGAAATATTTCTCTGAACTGAAAGCTCGTTGTCCGTTACCACCTGAAATATCAGTAGGATCTCTGCTCAACATAAAAATCTATAAATATTCGGAAACAATAAGGGAATATATATTTATCTGTATCTGCACGTTCATCAGCATCATCTGGTAGTTCTGGATTACTGAGCTTTCCGAAGCTCACTTTATTACTCAACATTGCAGGTTAAAAGAATTGTACCAGTGCAACTATCGTCATCAGCAAGGGAGTTCTTCCGGTGTTGTTTGCAGAGTACGATCTATGTGATTAGGAGACATGTAATTGTATTTTGTTTTATATGTGAGTCTGAAAATCTGTTTTAATTCTACATATCGATTAATAATTTTATGAGTTTATATGTTTTGATAAAAAGTTTTAAATTTTTCGTTATTTTTACAGTGGGTCGCTCCGGTGGCCCTAATATAACACTACAAATTGGATCGAGTTATCCGCATCAACGTGAGGGGTTACAATTTCTGGGCGTAATCTGGGATTCTAACTCGATTACAGAAAAATCAGTTCGAGGGTACTGCATTGATGTTTTCGATGCTGTAATGGCTAAAATGCCTTATCCTGTTGCTTACTAATATGTTCCGTTTGCAACGCCTGAAGGAAAAGCTGCCGGTTCTTACAATGACTTGGTTGATCAAGTGAACTATGGGGTAAGTCTCCTCTTTTAATTACACCATTATATATCTATTGGCATGCAGCTATGAACAAAGAAATATGATGCTGTGGTCGGACTTCGGAGATGTAACTCTTGTGGCGAACAGGTCATTGTATGTGGACTTCACATCGCCCTACACAGAATCTGGTGTGTCGATGCTGGTGCCAATGAAGGATAACAAGAAGAAGAATGCATGGGTTTTCTTACAGCCCTTGACATCGGATCTCTGGATAACCAGCGGTTGCTTCTTTGTCTCCATTGGGTTTGTGGTTTGGATTCTCGAGCATAGAATGAACGATGATTTCCGTTTCAACCTGCACATCAAGTCGGCACCAGCTTCTGGTTCTCCTCCTCAACCATGGTGTTTGCTCAGCGTAATAATTAAACTCCACCTTTTCAGTTTACACAGATACTTCATACTTTGCTAAAAGCTTTTGATCATTGCAGGGGAGAAAGTGGTGAGCAATTTGATTAGGTTTGTGGTGATCATATGGTGCTTTGTGGTTCTCATTCTCATCCAAAGTTACACTGCCAGCTTAACGTCGCTTTTGACAGTGGAGAAACTCCAGCTCACTGTACTGATCTAAATGTGCTGTTGAAGAGAAGGGTGAGTGTTGGCTTTCTATACGGATCGTTTGTAAAGGGGATGTTGTTGGGGTTGAAATTCGATAAATCCCAGCTCAAGACGTATACAACCCCTGAAGAACTCCATAATCTGTTCAAGGGCAGTTCCAACGGCGGTATCTCGGCTGCTATCAATGAAATCCCTTGCATCAAACTATTCATTGCCAAACACTGCCGCAAATATACTGCTGTCGAACCAACATTTAAAACCGGTGGCTTCGGCTTCTTGAGTTCTCTTCCTCGGTTTTCCTCGATTCCATATGATACGCTTTATAATTCTTTATTGTTCATTCTGCAGGTTTTCGCGAAAGGATCACCTCTTGTAGCCAGATATTTCAACGGAAATCTTGAATGTTACTCAAGGTGACCAAATGGAAAAGATTCAGAGCAAATGGTTCAAGAACGATGAAGTTACTTATCCTGGTTTCGACCCCGTGTTTCATCGAACAGTCTCGGTCTCGAAAGCTTCTGGGGCCTTTTCCTGATTGCAGGGCTCGAATCGATCTCGGCCCTCGTCATTTTTGCAGCAATGTTCTTGTACGAGCAAAGGCATGTGTTGTTTGAGCTGCCTTCCGAAGCTTCAATATGGAGAAGAGTTCGGTTCATGTCGAGAATCTTTGATGAGAAAGACATGAGCTCCCATACTTTCAAAAAAACTGAACCCCCAGAGATGCAAGCTCATCAAACACTAACTGCCCCCCAAGTCCATCAAGCTCGTCGAACCAGGCAGATTCTTCCGACTTTGTTTTTGTTGTAGAACTAGGATCACATACAAGTTCCCCCGATATATCTCCGGCTCCAGGAACATCTTCTACTTAGCTTGCTGATTACTATTATGGCAGATGAGTAGATTTGAGGACTTGGTTATTCTCACGTAATTTGTTGGAAGCTATATTGCTGAAAGATGAATGTATATATGGTACTATATAAGTAAGATAATAATCTTGTTAAAAATACAATGTATATTTTCGCCCTCGACAACATAACATATGATTGAACAGTATTTATAATTTATTTTTGAATAACGTCTACAAATGTTAAAGTAAATCATGCATTGATAAACATGTTATAGTTCAACTCAAATTTAACCTGACTTACATTAATAATAACGAATTTATTAAATGGTCTCCGCCATCACATACTTTTGATTAATAGACCATACATTTTCATTGCATTAGTCATTGAATTATATAAAATATTAAAGTAGTACCTATTCGTGGAACTTAGCACAGTATTTTAAGATGATATAACCTAGGTCTATAAACGAATCGAATGAACAAGGATAAGAACATCTTTATGTTCGTTCGTTTAAAACAATGACTGAATATGAATATAAATGGACACAAAATTAACTAAGGGATGATTCCAATATTAAGAAGATTCAACTTCTTCATCCCGGGAATGAAGGGTCCACACTGATGACCAATTTGAGTGAATGTCTAAGAAGTTGCGGCTAAGGCTATACCAACCAATTCCATTCAGTTCGACTAAATATCAAAATTTCAACAAACCGACCGGTTCTATTCAAAATCAACTCTAGTTTCCATTTCTCTGTTCGATTCAGCAAGTCTAGTTGTCTCATCATCGACTTTAATTAATTTATACACCAATTAAACTGACTTATATTTTATAAATAGTTTTATAAGAGACATACATGATACATTTAATTATCATCGTCCACACTATTTTTGTTAAATTATTATTTTTTAATGGATTTAAAGTGTTATGCCAAATGATAAGTTATAGGCATGATATCAAAATTAACCTCCATTTATTAAAATCATTATTTTAACACCTATTTCATTGAGTATTTTTGTCCGGATGTTTCATTTTAGGTATAAAGGCCTTTGACATGTGATGAAATAGTCCCTTTGGTTATTATTTTTTTTAGCATCTTGACCATTAATGTTTCATTTCAAGATAAAAAGAAACCTATTTTGGAGCATTAATCCCATATTAACTAACGATTTCCATATATACACAGAACTTTTTACCTTAAAATAAAAATGTTGGGGGTCAAAATACTAAAGAAAATAATGAGGACCAAAATGACTTTTTAAATAAAAATTGGGGGTTAATTTGACAATATGTCTAGTTTATATATTATTTATCTTATATATTAGATCATTTGTTCATTTCAAATTATGGGCAGGATCCGGTTAAACAATGTAAAATTCTTTTAGTTTTACATAGATTTAGGATCGTTGAATGTGTGAAAATAGATGTCTCAAATTAACAATAGCATATGTGAAGATATTCATTTGAAAAAATAATAATGAGTTAATCTTAGCCATCCACTTTTAATTATCTAATGATCTTAAATATATGTAAAACTAAAAAAAATTATATTGTGTAAGTTAATCTTAATATATATATATATATATATATAGATATATAGACAAGTAAAGCTGACCAATTCGGTTGTTATAAAATTCTAATTATTTATCTTAGATTTGAAATAGATTTATATCAAGTAAACAAGGAATGATTCTAATATTGAGAAGATTCAACATATTCTTCCTTGGCATGATTGTAGTCAACACTGATGACTGATTTGAGTGAATCTCCAGGAAGTTGCGGCTGAGTTTATACCAACTCACCCTACCAACCCTATTCTATTATATTATATTCTATTGGATTAAATATCAAAATGACCAATAACTCAACCCATTTTTTGGTATATTTCTTTTAATTGTATATCGATTATAAAAAATATTAGGCTTAACTACTATCACTTACATTGATGTTTTGACTATTTTTTTATTGATTTCGTAAAACATAATATATTGTCACTTTTATTTTTAATTTAATTAATATATGATCATTTATGTTTGTATTTAATTAAGATGTAGTTACCACTAGTAAAATTAAGGATAGCAGACGAGTACAATTTCATGGATTTGGCATCGCATCTACTCCAATTGTGGCGAGGATGAATATAATTTTAATTTTTGTTAGCAACTCGGGCAGACATATATAATTTCATGGATTTCGCATCATACCCGCTCCAATTATGGCGGGGATGTATATAAGTTTAGTGGGTAGTGGGCGGATGTGGATGTAAAAAGTTATATCCTCCGAGGGTAGTGGGTAGATGATGAGTTTAAGACCTTACCCGCTTAGCATCCACTTACTCACTAATTATCCACCATATATATTTTGGATCATTATGAATTTAGGTATAATTTCATAGACTATTGTATAAATCTTAAGATTTTATAAGACATGACTTGTGATTTAACTTTCTATTAGGGTATAAATTCAATTAATCCTTGGTTTATTTTATTAAGCTTCTTAATGAGTGTGTTTGGTTTATATTTTGTTACTTGTGTAATTTGTGAGGTTATTGCCGGCTTGTGTCAAGTGAATATGACTGGGTACAAATGGGTATGGGATGAGTGGTAGGTATTCAATTAAGTAGTGGGTGTGGGGATGAATTTGAGAATATACACACATAGGCGGATGAGAATTTAAAAACTTTATCCGTCGTGGGTGGTGGGTAAGTGGTAGATACGAAAAATATTAGGTGGGTATAAGGATGAGTGAAAGGGTATCCACACCCAACCTGTCAATTTGTCATCCCTATTCATAACAATTAATTTGTGGTTATCATATCTCAATTAAATAAAAACGAAAATGATCATATATTATATATTTTAAAATCGATGAGGAAAAGTGAACAAAACACAAACATAAGTGATGAATCGCGTAGTTACAAAAAAAAATTATCAAATAACCAAGCCCCACAAAGAATTTTTTATGGATAATCTACATATATTTTGATATTAATATGGTATTATTTATTTTATATATCGTGTTAATAAATAAATTTTAATATATATATATTGATTAAATAAATTTATATATTTAAATATTAACCAAATTATAAATATCAGGTTTATTATTTTTCTAAATGGTAAATCTAAATACATAAAAATTATATAAGAAAACCATATTGTCGCTTTTTGATATCTAAATTTCGAAATTTATAATAATTTTTTTTTATTAATTTTCATTTTTAATCATATTCTGGGTTTTGATTTGGTCAAGAAAAAGGGTATTATGACATGGGTCAACAATGTTGTACCAATACGACTATTCATTTGATAGCATTATTCTATTATGTACCACTCCTGTAATTTTTCATGACCTACTCTTTATGCCTATCGTTATGTATATATATATATATATTAAAGTGAGAATAAGAAATAATTATTTTTCCAATATTCTTTCATTTTTTTAAAATATGAAGCCTTTCGAAGGTTCTTTTTTTTATTAATTCTATGCTTCTAGAAAGTAAAAGTTTAGGAAGTTCGATTGACAAATAAAGTCTTTATGTATAAGTTTAGGCTTTCCACGACAAAGAACTGAATGACTTCATGCATGTATGTATATATAGATCAATTAACTTACTTCTTATGCATTGTATTCAATTTCATCACTTCCTAGATGATGGGGAACCCTACCATACGCATTAATTTCAATTTATTTATTACTCTCTGTCTCTTCGTTAATGTTTGGCTGCAAGGAGGAATGGCGGCTCAGTCTCGAAACACCGCCACCGTCGTCCCTGTCAATGTGGGCGTGGTTCTTGACATGGACTCCTTGGTTGGGAAGTTAGGGATGAGTTGCATCGACATGGCCCTCTCGGACTTTTACGCCACCCATCCTCACTACAAAACCAGGCTCCTACTCCACACCAAGGACTCCATGGATGACCTTGTTGCCGCCGCTGCCGCCGGTTTGTTCTCTTTCGCCTCCATTCTTTTACTCAGTTTGCATGTGTTAAGATTAGGGTGTAAAATTCAACAATAAATTCTGCTAACTCTATTTATTTGGTGATGGAACAGCTTTGGATTTGATAAGGAATGTACAAGTGCAAGCAATCATAGGGCCAAGAAGTTCAATGCAGGCCAACTTTGTAATCAGTCTGGGAAACAAATCTCAGGTTCCCATCATCTCCTTTTCCGCAACAAGTCCTTCCCTCACTTCCCTTCAAACTCCATACTTTTTTTCCGGGCTGCTCAAAGCGGCTCATTTCAAGTGAAAGCCATAAGTGCCATTGTCAACTCTTTCGGGTGGCGAGAAGCAGTGCCCATCTATGTCGACAACCAGTTCGGGGAGACTCTCATACCTTACTTGACAGCTGCTTTACAAGAGACCAACACCCGGGTCCCTTATCTGAGTGTCATTCCGGTGTCGGCTACCGATGATCAAATCGCCGAAGAACTTTACAAGTTAAAGAACATGCAAACGAGGGTGTTCATTGTGCATGCGACGATGCCTCTTGGCCTTCGGATTTTTGCCAAAGCAGAAGAGATTGGAATGATGAGTGAAGGGTATGTTTGGATCATGACTGAGTTGATGACTACTTTGTGGAGTTCAATTGATTCCTCCTCTATTAATTCATTCCAAGGGGTGTTAGGTGTTAAGTGTTTTGTTCCAAAATCGAAACAACTTGAGAAATTCACTCTACGATGGAAAAGGAAGTTCCAGAGAGACAATCCCGATATTACTAATGCTGAAATGAACAGTTTTGGATTATGGGCTTATGCTGCAACTTTTGCACTTGCCATGGCAGTCGAGAAAGCTGGCACTGCAAACCTGAGCTTCAACAAGCCAAACATTTCCAGGACAGACCTTGAAACATTGGGTGTCTCACAAAATGGTCCTCGACTTATCCAGGAATTATCAAAAATTAGATTCCGAGGCCTTTCAGGAGATTTTTCATTTCGATAACGGGCAATTAGAATCGTCTGTGTTTGAGATAGTTAACATAAATGGAAATGGCGAGAAAAGGTGGGGTTTTGGACACCCGAAAATGGACTTGTAAGAAACACAGGTTCAAAGTATTCTTCTAAGCCAAATCTTGGTCCCATTATATGGCCAGGGGATAGTCAATTGGCTCCTAAAGGTTGGGAGATCCCAACAGAAGGGAAGAAATTAAGAATTGGGGTTCCAGCGAACATTGTTTATACTGAATTTCTTCAAGTAATCTGGGATTCTAACTCTAATACAGCAAAATCAGTTCGAGGCTACTGCATTGATATTTTTGATGCTGTGATGGCTAAAATGCCTTATCCTGTTGCTTACGAGTATGTTCCATTTGCAACGCCTGAAGGAAAAACTGCCGGTTCTTACAATGATTTGGTCGATCAAGTGTACTATGGGGTAAGTCTCCTCTCTTAACTCTTCTCTATGTTATACTATTATTATGGTTTTATTGAATGGTTTCAATCGGCTGCCATGAACACAGAATTATGACGCTGTGGTCGGAGATGTAACGATTGTGGCCAACAGGTCATTGTATGTGGATTTCACGTTGCCGTACATAGAATCTGGTGTATCGATGCTAGTGCCAATCAGAGATAACAAGAAGAAGAATGCGTGGGTTTTCTTACACCCTTTGACACCGGCTCTCTGGGTAACCAGCGCTTGCTTCTTTGTGTTGGTCGGGTTTGTGGTTTGGGTTCTCGAGCATAGAATCAACGAAGATTTCCGTGGACCACCGGCTCATCAAGTCGGCACCAGCTTCTGGTTCTCCTTCTCGACCATGGTGTTTGCTCATCGTAAGAATTAAACTCCTTCACCTTTTCAATTTACAGATACTTCATACTTTGCTAAAAGCTTTTGGTCATTGAAGGGGAGAAAGTGGTGAGCAATTTGGCTAGGTTTGTGGTGATCATATGGTGCTTCGTGGTTCTCATTCTCACCCAAAGTTACACTGCTAGCTTGACGTCGCTCTTAACAGTGGAGCAACTCCAACCAACTGTAACTGATGTAAATGAGCTGTTGAAGAGAAGGGAGAGTGTTGGTCTTCTAAATGGCTCGTTTTTCGAGGGGATCTTGTTGGGGTTGAAGTTCGATAAATCAATGATCAAGTATTATGGATCTCCTAAAGAACTGAATGAACTTTTTGTCAAGGGTAGTGCCAATGGCGGAATTTCAGCTGCTTTCGAAGAAATCCCTTATATTCCGCTATTTCTTTCCAAATATTGCGGCAAATATACTACTGTCAAACCCACATTTAGAACCAATGGATTTGGCTTCGTGAGTTATCTTCTTCTCTATGTGAGTCTCGAGTTAGACCTTCCTCGATTCAATTATGACTTGTTCGTGTTTGTAGGTTTTCCCGAAAGGATCTTCTCTCGTGTCAGATGTTTCAAGTGCAGTCTTGAATGTTACTCAAGGTGATGATATGGAACGAATTCAAAACAAATGGTTCAAGAGCGATGCAACTTGTCCTAATGTCGACCCCATTGTTTCATCAAACAGTCTTGGTCTCGAGAGCTTTTGGGGCCTTTTCCTCATTGCTGGTGTCGCATCGATATTGGCGCTCGTCGTTTTCGCAGCAATGTTCTTGTATGAACAGAGGCATGTCTTGTTTCATTTCCATCCCAAGACTCCAATGTGGCGAAAAGTTCGAATCATGTCGAGAATCTTTGATCAGAAAGACCTGAGCTCCCATACTTTCAAAACAAACGAACCCGAAGATGCAAGCAGCCATTGCAGTGTCCATAGTGTAGGTGTTGATGAAAGATCATCAAACTCTGGTTGCCCCACAAGTCCATCAAGCTTGTCGAACCGAACATATTCTTCGGACCTGGTTTTCATTGTAGAACAAGGATCAAGTACAAATTCTTCCGATCCATAAAGTATAGGAATATGGTGGAGGATATAACCAAGGACTTAGAGTAATATATAACTTTCTAAGTCATTTAACCACTCTAACTTGTGCTAATTATCGTAACAAATTAATTGTTTTGGGATTGTTTGTTCGGAGGTGGTTACGGATGGTGTGCGATGGATCTTACCCGATGAGTAAATCATTTTATTTGTTTTGCATGCAAGACTATCGAAAACATAACCGTAACCACAATTTAAATCCCCGGATGGCGGTGACAAAGCTTGACTTCGGAACTGCTTACCAGGGTATTCTTGACTGCCGTCATCACATTCTTGTGAATAGGCTTGGCCTGACTAAATGCTTTGCCTTGCGGATAAGGTACAAGTGAACTCCAAAACTTAGCAAAGCTCCGCCACCGTAGGCTTGGCATGACTACCAGGTGAATCGACTGTAGAGTCACCTCCTTTTCAACCATAACAAGCTCTGTTTCGCAATGGCAGCAATACAGCATTACCAAATCCCTTGCTTCTGTTATTCATCATATTCATGAGGAATGGAATGAACGAGTCATCCAAAGGACCATTACCTCTTCAGCTATCAACAAAAACAAATCAGCTCGTGGAATTTTCGGTTACATGTCACCAGAATACATGGAATCTGGAGAAGCAACCCCAATGGCTAATGTTTATAGCTTTGGAGTGGTGGTCCTGGAAGTGGTCAGTGGACATATGGCAGCTGACATCAGGCGGCCTGAGGTATTGTTGGTGAAACGAGTACACGACTTTGTGACACGAAAAAGCCGCTAGAAGTACTGATTCATATCAGGCTGAATGAGCAAACTGTGTATATGTATAGTTGTGGTTACAGAGTTTCTATGTTCACAATCTAAGCCAGTTTTGATTGATTTTGTGTACAATTTGCAAAAGCTCCGACTGTTTCTTTCCATACACAATGCCATGAACTCCTCATACATGATAATTACAATATGAATCAGATGTATAGAGAGACTGAACCGAAAACCGGTACTAAATTATTTCTTCAATACGGTAATCTCGAGTTTGCATTATTTGAAAGAAAACTGTGATGATATATATGTCATGATACAGCAAAAACAGTTTAACCAAGTGTTTGGGATGTCTTAGTTATATGAACAAATCTTAATCTGACCTCATACAGATTATCATGCAGAGCCTTCGAGTGTTCTTAGCTTCCTGGGTCCAGTATTTCTCCTTCATCGTCGCTTTCGATCCCAACCCAGTTGATAAAAGCAAAGAGGAACTCTCTGAAGCTGACTTTTCCATTCTTATCCCAGTCCATTTCTTCTGCAAGTTCCCATTGGGGATACCAAAAGAATGGTTAATATAATTGATTATAGAAACTAGTGAGAAATTAAAAGTATATTGAGTTGAATATTTGATACTGAATCTAGTCTGAGTAACACGTGCAGGAGATCGTTCCCACGGGGAAGTTTCGTTTAGTGCCTTCATCATGTCTTTCTTGTTCAGTTTTCCATCACCATTCTTATCAAGAAACAGGAACGCTTCAATGATGGTATCGAAAGTGGCCTCAAGCTGCTGAGAATCCATCTTCAATGTCTGAAACATTCCGAATTAACCATTAAAGATACTTATTAATACCTTCTAACACAACATGCTCTATGTTCTCAAACAAGGACAAGAAACAAACATAAGGTAACGGCGGGTACATTATCAGGAGAGGAAGAAGGTTTCATTAGGAGATAGCTGAGACATAGCAGCACAATAAACTCGCTAAATTGAATCCCTTCACTCCCGTCGATATCACATGAACGAAACAAATCCTCGATCTCCTCTTTTGTCAACCGAAGTTGCAGTTTCTCCAAGCATTTGTTCAGTTCCTCGCGATCAATAGTTCCATTGGAGTCTTCATCTAAAGAAAGAGAAAAGAGAGGGAGAGTCAATTTGCGGCAAAAAATCCAAGATAAAAGCTTACAGTGAGCTTCAAGATTAAACTTGCTGCAACCAACCATACTGCTCGAACACGCCTTTGAGGTTTCTGAATCCATCCCGGAACTGAGGGAACCTCAAGATAATGCTGTCAATTGATTTGACATTAGATTTTCCCGATGAACTTCTCTTCATTTCAATCATTTTCCTTTCAAGCTTTGAATCCAGCTTCTTGTACTTGTTTGATGAACCACAATTGCAAAGCATGCTTCTGATTCTACCGGACAAAGACTTCAGGGGAGGGAAAGGATGACATTTGCCTTAAGATGTCAAATTTAGATGTCAAATGCAGGCTCAATGTTGACAATGAAGATAATACTCCACATTTTTCGACTAATTTTACAGAAATGTAGCGTAAACCAGTTGGTGCTATTTGCATACATCATCAATCAGCAGTATTAATGGAGAAGGTAAATACAATAGCACTTAGAAACCTCTACATGTTTACACTTTGTTCGATTTCGAAACCACGTTCGACCTTTGGCTGGGCAACAGAGTTGTTCTGTTGAACTTACGGTGGTTATAGATGGTGATAGTGGTGACAATCTTTTCCACTTTGAAGGCTATTTTTAATCATACAACTCCATGGCAGTTTTAAATTTCCTTGTACTACCAAAATCTGTCCTAATCCTGGATCTACACAAGTTAACAAACCCTAAAAAAGAAGTGAGTTTTGAAAGATTACATCAACTTCCATGCATTGATAATCGACAAATATTATACTAGCAGTATACACTGAAAAATTGCAGACTAGACTCAAGTGTCCAGATATATAGAACCCTAATCAGCAATTTAACAACCAAAACAAAAACTAAAAAACTTACAAACATAAGTAAATATGGCTGATATGAAAAACAAAACATAAAGGTGTGGAATAACTCAATCCTTGAGCTTAAGGCATATACATCAACAGGGCTTGAAAAAGAATGGAAAATTTATAATCCAGCACTTCAATAACATTAAACTATATGTGTAAACAAAATATATAGAAGAAGCCGATAAAAGGAGAGAACATGACATACCCATTGAAGCTTAAGTTAAAGATGATGAAATGAAAGTGGTGGCTCTTGCAAGAGATAATGAAAAAGTAAAGTTCTCAAGTCAACAAGGAATGGAGAAGGGAAAGCTGAAGTTTGTCCCACAAACTGAAAAGGAGGAAGCAGTGAAGGAAGAGAATGGAGTAAAGAATAAGCAAACAGTGATGATAATAATGAGACTTCACAAAGTGGAGAGTAGCATAAATCATGGTCATTCACAATTAGTACACTTTTCATTATTTTGCATAGGTGACTATGATATAGTATGTATTTATATATTCTTTTAGTTATTGGTATTGTATATATATCTTATAAATATAATTATTTAAATTCAAAATCTTTAAAAAATAATATTCTTTTTAATCATTAAATAAGTTATTATTTAAAATATCTTAAATATAAAAATTATAGACTTTATATATATACACTCATGTAGGGATGGAGAGAAGTGAGCATAAATGCTGCTTCATTATGGACTGTTGTCTTTCTTGGAATCAAACAGAAATATGCCATGTCAGAATCATTATTTTACTTTCACTTTGGGTAAAATACAAGTTTAGTACTCAAATTATCATTTTTTCTGTTTTGGTATCTAACTATTTTTTTTAAATTATACCTAACATTTAATTTTGGTTTCATACCTAACATTAGATAACGTCACATCATTATTGGAAAAAAAATAAAAGAATAGCATGTTAGTAGTTTTGTTAATTTTTTAATGGTCGATGACCAAAATGAAATTAAGACATAACATTAAATGTGATTTAAAAAATATATTTGGATGAACAAAATAAAATAAAATTGATAATTAAGATTCTTAAGTTCATGGCTTGTGAACCCAAAGTGTTTACTATTTAATCAAGCACTTGCTTTTCTAATTAGCTTACTGATCTAATGGTATCTCCCCTTACATTAGAGGACTTATTTATAATCCACAGTATAAATAGATAGTTAAATAATTGTCAATTAAAAAGGTGAAAATACTTAAATCAGGCTACATGCTTTAGGGTTATTTTCATCTTTTTACAACTTTATGCTAAAAACATGTCAAACATTGAAATAAATTCACCAAATTAAAATTAAATAGGAAAGACTTTAGATCATTCGGACATTGTATCGAACTTCAATTAAGAAAATTAAATGCAACCCCTCTCTTCGACTAATGTTCTCGACCTCAATAGTATTGAGAAATCCGTACCTTCCATATCACACCACCACCTTTAGGGCTGTAAAATCAGTAATCTGACATGTTTCAGTCGGATTCTGGAAATCGGATATATGTCAAGTCAGATCAATTTGATGGTTTGACACGAATCAGGTCGGGTACATGTTAAATCAGTTTAGGTCATTTTAAGGTTGATTTGACACCAGATCCAGATCGAGTTCAAGTCGGATCATTTTCAGTTCGGATTGATGTCAGTTCATGTCAAAACAGTTCAGGTTCGAAGCAGATAAAGACCAGGTTAATTCAGGTTCATGTGGATTTCAGTCGGATCTCGTTCAGATCGGGTCACATCATTGACAAATAAAATTCAGGTCGGATGTTTATCGGATACAGATTGAGTTCAGGTCGAGTCGTTTTTATTTTTGGATTAATTATTTTGTCATCTTTCGTGATTGTTGAATTGCAAGTTATAATTGTATATGATTTCGAGTAAATTGTAAAAAAATAAATAATCATGGATCAATTTTGTCAAAAAATTTTAATTTAAGGACAAAATTGAAGAAATGTAAAATTACAAATAAAATTTTAAAATATAAATTAAACAACACATATAGGTAAGGGACCAAATCGAAATAAATTTAAAATGTGAGGTTTAAATTAATATAAAAATGACTAAATTATACTCATTTAAAAAGTTATAAGTCAGTTAAAAAAATATAAATAACAACTAACAATGGACCAAATGAAGATGCAAATATAAATTTAAAGACTAAATTGAATACATATAAAAGTGAAAGACTTAAAATTTAAATAAATTAAAAAATAAAAAAGGTTGAAATCGAAATAAATGCAAGATATGAAGAAATAATGAAAAATATAGTAAATTGCATTCATTTAAAAAATTAAAAAAATATAATATATATATATATATATAAAGACAAATATATAATATATATAGTTTATATGTAGTTTACATGTAGTTTATTAATAAACTATGTAATATATATATAAATATATAATATATAAGATTTATGTATATAGTTTATATATATAGTATATTAAATACATATATATATTACTATAGAAATAGTTTACATTAAAAATTATATAGTTTATATATAAATTGTACAATTTATTAATGAACTATGGGTAAACAATATATAAACTATATAAAGTAAAAAAGTATATAATTTATATTAATATAATATAAGTTTATAAATAAACTATATATATAAACTATATTTTTATTAATATAGTATATATATATATAGGTTATAGAAATACTATGCATAAATTATATAAAATAATAAAATATATAGTTTATAGAAACCCTAAACCCTAAATATTGAATCCTAAATTGTAAACCCTAAACCCTAAACTTTATAAATTATATATGTATAGACAAAGTTGATAATTCATATATAGTTTATATAAACAATAGTTCATATAAATTATATATGTAACATTAATTTATAGTCTATAAACAATAGTTAATATATGTAACTTATAGTATATGTATACATTTAACTATATATGTTACTTATAGTACATGTATATATAAACTGTGTATATTATATATAAACTATATATATAATATATATCTATATAAACTATATAAAGTAAATTACTTATATAGTTTATAGAAACACTATCCATAAACTATATAAAGTAATAAAGTTTATAGTTTATAGAAACCCTAAACCCTAAGCTCTAAGCCCTAAATATTGTATTCTAAACCCTAAACCCTAAACGATATATGTATAGACACATTTGATAATTCATATATAGTTTATATAAACAATAGTTTATATAAATTATATATGTAACATTAATCTATAGTCTATAAACAATAGTTAATAAATGTAACCTATAGTACATGTATACATGTAAACTATATATGTAACTTATAGTACATGTATGTATAAACTGTGTATAATATATATAACCTATAGTATATGTATATATATAATCTATTTATATGTTATATAAACTATATATGTAACCTATAGTTTATAAACAATAGTTTATATTGATGTACTATATAATTTATAACCTATAGTATATAATTTATAAACTATAGTTTATATTAATGTACTATATAGTTTATATTAATGTTAATTATCTTAACTATAATTTATACAAATATAATATATAGTTTATAATTATAATTTGTATTAATGTAGTAGATAGTTTATAAACTATAGTTTACATTAATATTAACATATTAACTATAATTTATATTAATATAGTATATAGTATTAATATTAATTATAGTCTATAAACCATATACTATATTAATATAAATTATATTAACTATAGTTTATAAACTATACTATATAATTTATAAAATATAGTTTATATTAATATTAATTTTATAGATTATATTTTATATTAATATTAATTACAAATTATAAACTATATTATATTAATATAAGTTAATATTAATATTAATTATATTAATATTAATTATAATATATAATTTATATTAATATTAATTACAAATAGTTTATTAATATTAATTATGTAGGGATGAAATTGAAAGAATTTAAAATATAAAGATTAAATTGAATCATTAAAGTTGGACTAAATTAAATAAAATCAAAACAAGAGGATAACGGTACAAAGCGAAACGAAGTTAAAAAACACAGATCTTGAACCCGACCCGAACGGAGCGACTATATAAGGACAAAATTTTTGTTTTTTTTCTCATTTTCGGGTTTCCTATTTATTCTTCCATTTTGCTCTCTCTCTCTCTCTCTAACTCTCTGATTCTCTCAAAATTCTCTGTCTTCTCTCTAGAAGTTCATTCGTGTTCTTTATTTTTCTTTGAAAAAACCTTCATTTGATCTTCAAAAACACCAAATCCCAAACACTTTCCTATTTTTTTTATCAAACACACGAAATTTCTTAACTTGTTCATCCGAGTTCATACCAAAACTCTCATTTGATCTTCATAAACACAAAAACCCATATGATTTCTTTTTTTTCTTTCTTTCGATCAAACACCCAAAATTTTCTCCATGTTCATCCGTATTCATCCCAATTCATATTTGTTTTTCACAAAAATCGTCCGTTGATCTTCACAAACACCAAAACACATACAATTTCCTATTTTTTTTCTAATCAAACCCCAAACCCAAGTAACAGTTCATCTTTATTCTTCCCTAAACCATTCTTTGATCTTTCGATTAAACCCAAACCCTAACACCAATTCATATTTTATAACCTAACCTCAACCTCGAACCCAAACAGAACCCACACCCATACCCAAACCCAAACCCAAACTTGAACCCAAACTCAAACCTAAACCTTAAAAAACCCTAACTGAGCCTCTTCACTTTCTGTATCTTTTCATCTTCTATAACCACGACTGTTCTTCATTTTATTCCTCTTCTTCTTGTTCTTCACTTTCTATCTCTATTTAGTTCCTTTGTAGGAGAAAACCCAACAAATCAGAATGAAGAACATTCTTAAAGAGGTAAATATATTGTCCTATGTAGCTACTGTTTATTTGTTTCTTCTGTAGTCCTTTGTTTGTGTTGATGTTGGTTGTTCATTCGGATTGGTTGTATAAGGTTGTTAGATGCCTTTGTTTGTAGCTTAATCAAGGTTTAATTTTTACTATATTAACCCTAGTTTTTTTTTTGCAATGGGGTGTAAATGATATATTATCCGAAGCAGTTGATATAACTAAGAGGAAGTCCACTGGTTCATCCGAATTTGGGAGAAGAACCTCTCCTGTTTGGGACCACTACACATTCACCAAATCTGATGATGGTTCTATTTATGCCAAGGGTAAGTATTACAAAGTGAAAAGGTATAAAGCTGATTCTTATGTTGGTACATCTAATCCTAGAAGGCATACTGAGAAATGTCAAGCTTATAAGATTTTTCTTGCTGAAAATCCTGGTAGTGTAGCTTCTTTTGATCTAAACCAATATTGTGAATTATTTGCTAAGGCTATTTTGTTTCATTGTTATGCATATAGTATTGTT